TTTCCCTTTTCCCCCCTTTTTTAACCCTTTCCTCCCTCTCTTTTATTTTTTCCCTCCTTTTTTTCCCCAGGACCTCCCGGGATTCGGGATGCTCTGGGACCACCGGCGCATCCCTGCTTGCCCCAAAACCACTTCAGGCCAGCGTGGGAGCCAAATCGTGCCCTTTTCAGCCCCAAAAAAGCAACGCTGGGTGATGACCTCACCAACCACCGCCGAGCTGGGGCAAAGGGCTCCCCGTCGGGGACCACCACGGGGATAAGGCGATGCCCCATCGAGCGAACCTCCAGCATCCTTTGCCCCTGGAGACGTGGCTTCATTTTGGGGTACCCCACCCTGTATCCCACCCCTCATCCCCGGCTCCGTATCAGCCTTGAACCCTCCCCCCCCCAAAAAAATCCAAGCGATGCCAAGCTCCCGGCGTCCCGATGCTCCTCGTGCATCCCGCCGGCACCGCGCCACGATGATGCTGGTGGGATGCAATTCCTGATCGCTCCGGGGAACCGGGCAGGAAAAGCTTTTAAGCAAAAATCCGTATTGTTTCCACCCAGCGGGGCGACCATTCAACCTCAAAACACGCTCAGGGTTGGGTTTCCAGCCGGAAATTTCCCGCCGAAGGTACAAAAAGCCACGTTTGGCCCCAAAAAATAAGGGGAGGGGGGGAAGAAAAAAATTCCTCCGCCTCCCCGCTCCTTCGGGCTCTGCAAATATTTATGCGGTTCAAAAAGGTCCCAAGGGAACAAAGCACGGACACGGCGCGTCCCCCCCCAAACAATGAAGCCGGATATTTTCTGATGTGAGCGGAGCCGAGGCCGGAGCCGGTTCATATCCGCCTACCTGCGGCCTCCAGCTGCTTTAAATCCCTCAAAAAAAGGCAAAATCATGTTTTTTTTTTGGGGGGGGAGGCTTTTTGGGGAAAGAAAGCCTTTTTTTGGGGGGAAAAAAGGGCTTCGAGTGAGCGCCAGGCTCCCGCCTCCCCGCGAGCATCCTTAGCGTGGCAGGGGGGCGCACCGGGGGGGCCCCCAAGCTGCCGATGCACGGTGTCACCGCGTCCCTGTCTTAACGAAGGCGGGCGGTTTAACGAGGCTGGGAGGTCGTTATTCCCTGCTGGAATGCCGCGGGCCCCCCATCCATCCCTGCATCCCTTGCACGAGCAGCCTGGGATGCAAAGGTCAGCGTGAGGACCCAAAGCATCACCCCCCCGACCTCAGAGACCCCCCAACCTCGAGCATCCCCCCATTCCCGGCCAGGAAAGCGAGGAAAAGGGAATGACCGAGGTTACGTAAATATTGCGAGTCGGCTTTGGGGGTTTTATTTCCTTTATTTGCAATGGATTCGGGTATTTTTCCAAAGGAAATCGCAGGCTGACGCGGTTTCCCCCTCCCCGCCGCCCTCCCCAGCTTCTTCTGGATCCTGCAAATTGGGGGATTTTGCACAATTTTGCCTGGTTGCAGGGTGGATTTTTGTTTTTTTTTTTTTCTGCAGTCCCCCCCCATTTTTGCCCCAAATCCCCCAATCTGCTCACCGAGCAGAAATTGCAATTTCCATCCACTTGGTGTCAGCTCCAGCCCCTCTCTGGCCCCGCCGCCCGTCCGTCCCTCCCAAACCACCC